CGACATGTCTCGGACCGCATCCGTGAACATAAAGCTGACCTGAAACACGGTAGGACTAACACCTCAGCCGTGGCAGATCACTGTTACAACTCAGTGGGCTCACATGATATTGACTTCTCCAAGACAGAGGTTCTCTGCAAGCCATCTGGCTATCATGAGAGATTCGTTCATGAGGCGATCCACATATACAAACACAGAGACAACTTTAACCGAGAAGATGGATTCTGGCTCAGCAATCATTGGAAGGACGTAATAAACCATTTCGATACACATTAGGGTGTGTAGAATAATACATAGTGTGATATTAAATGTATAAGATATAGGTTGGTTTACAGCAATACAGTATATAATTTAATGTTGGGTTTATCTATGGCAGTATATAGTACGGTATATGCTCGTGTGATGTAAGAGAATAAGGTTTAGATGGAAGCATATTATAGAATTTTTACGAGGTAAAATTGTAATGTATTACTTGCTGTTAGTAACTCAGCTTATTATAGAGTATAGTAAGTATACTGATGGTGCGATGCAGTTTATACTTTAGTTTTTTATGTAGTTTATACTTTAGTTTTCTACGTGGTTGTTGAGTAACTGCAGCTACATATCATTAACATTCCTTTCCTTTGTTACTGCTAATCCCTGCACCCCCCTTGGTTGCTGCTGATCCTGCATAATGCATGGCATAATATGACTTTGACACCCCCCCGCCCAACGCCTACGCATTTTCCATGAATATGCTAAATCCCTCTTCACATGCACATTCTTTTTGTTAAGGCGCTCTTCAACCCCCAATGCAGCTTATATATAAGCTCCTAGTTTGGTAGTGTCTCATTCTTCACCTGAAGACGGCTGCTTGCGTTGTAGCCGAAACGTCGTGAGAATTGTTTTATTATGTTTTGTTTTTATTATTTTTGATTACTTCCCTTCTACGTGACTTTACCGAAAGAAACAAGAAGATGAATCCCTGCAGTCACGAAAGCTTTAAATCGAAATTTACTTAATGATATTTAATCAATGCATGAAGTAATACTTACTGTACCTACAACAGCCCGCTGTTAACAGGAGAATGGTCGGTAAGCGAACACATTGGGCTCTGGAGGCACTACACTACTATACACTTCACTACTATACACTACACTACTATACACCACTACTATACACTACTACTATACACTAAACTACTATACACTACACTACTACACTACACTATACACTGGGCTCTGGAGGCCTGTCGTTAAGCAATTAATCATTACCAAGGGTGGTCGTTAAAAAGGGTTCTACTCTACACTACACTATACACTACACTACTGTACACCACTACTATAAACGACACATTGGGCTCAATGGAGGCCGGTCGTTAAACGATTACGGTAGTCATCAACAGGGATGGTTGGCAAGAGGGGTTCTACTGTACATACATACGTCTTACTGACTGTTCAGAAAGCGTTCAGTGGGTTTCGGTGAAAACGCGTCGAGAGAAGGGGCCGATGACCGAGAGACCAAGAATAGTGCCGGAGCGGCAGCCAGAGGAGGAGGCCAATCCTGCCGGAGAGGACGTCCACAATGGAGGTGGAGCGATGAAATCAACTCGTACGCCGGCTGCTGGGCGGATTATTACATTGATTGTTTCGTGCGGTCAGCGAAGGGACTTCGTTTCACTGATTCGTTTCTTAAGTGATGTGGCCACCGCAGAGAAGTTTGCGGGCCAGCCACTGCTTTGGAGAGGAGGCTTTTATCCAGCGGTGAATCGATCATGGTGGGTGGTGGCGAACGTGCAGCAATCGTAAACAAAAAAAACAATGATCGTCTATTAAAGATGCGTGGAAGCGAGGGAACGTGTTGAGCCTGGCCGGTGTGTTTGATCGCATACTGTTGAGTCCGGTTCCTTTACTTTTTCAAAGGGATCATGTAATCGTGCTTTAATCTTATTCTGTTAGGCGAATGCCACACTGGGATTCGTCTATTTGCCATCTGTTCCTTCTCATTCAATGGGGAGAGACACCAGTTCGGCTGTCGAGTGATAACTGTATCTTTTCATTATTTGTTTTCCCCTTTCCCCCCCCCCCTTTACCAATTAATTCCGGATTACGCTGTGTCGGTCTCAGGTCACGAGTCGAAGTTATTCACTCGGGACCTCTCGCAGAGAGCAGCAGTGCAGATCATTGTTGGAGAATTGTCCCACATACATCTCACATCCCTTCAAGTGCCACGATGGTGAGATGTTAACTCCCTCGCTTCGTACACAGGATGTCTTGGGTTCGATCCCAACGCCTGCTGTATATTTTTAGTTTGCGGTGTTCTCTCCGTGGCCGCGTGGACTTTTCCCCGGGTCCTTCGGTTTTTTCCTCCACATTTAGAATCGTGCGTTTAGAGTGTTTGGCTGCTGCGAATTTCCACGTTATGATGAGCCGCTTCGTTGAGCTATCAATTTGTGGCCAGGTCGCTTCTGAAAATGAGCTGTACAGGTAAGGATCAAAGTTACAAATCACATTCGCCACTGAGAGTTAACATTTCTGAGGCATGGAATTCAGCCGTACTCAGCGCGGAACCAAATTAACGTGATCATTTTGTTGTTGTTCGTGTACATTCATTGAGGAGCGAGCTGAGACCATCATCAGCATGTTACATTTTGAGAACCCGGTTTAATCACTGGATTCGAACCCATGGCCTAAAGCAGTCTTCTACATTGCAAGGCCCGTGGGCCTGCAGGCAGCCCCTAGTGCGGCCCCTGACGCCAGAGGTCGCAATCGGGTACCCGATACCCGTACCCTACCCGATACCCGGCTACCCGTACCCGGGTACAGGTAAGGAATCAAAACCCGTTTGCGACCTCTGCCTGACGCACCCCATCATGCTGTCTCAAACCCAATGGTTTCACATGTGTGGCGGCCCTCGCACTGATGTCTTATCGGTGAAATTGACCCAAAGCACTAACCTACGAAGCTACCTGGCCACCTCTAAGTATTAACATATCTTACATGCAGCGGGAGACTGGGTGAGTGCCGTAAAACCATGTCCACGATGATTATAGCAACAAAACTATGTTCAGTAAAACTCCCATCATTTGATTTCACGTGGGAAATTATTGCCTTTGCACGGTCTAGTTTTAGAGCAAAATACGTCAAAGGTGCAGCCATCACAATTGCATGCTCACACCACTGCCGACGGGAGCTTACCTTTTCGTGCTGTTAGGTTTTTTCGGTAAAGTCACGTAGGTAAAAATAAATAATAGAAATAATAATTGAAATAAAATAATAAATCATGACGTTTCGGGCGCAACACAAGCGTCCGTCATCAGGTTGGACAACCACAGCAAGAAACAATTGCTGATTCGAGCATCTTGGATGAACAGGTGGCGTGCCCGCACTTTACCCCACCTGCCGATGTACTGCGATGCCGAACCCACTTGCACTGCTGGGTGGGCAGCGGCAGCGGCAGAGGCGGAGTGGGGGGGAGGGCACCATTATTTCAACTGCTGTGCTGGCTGGGTGAGATCTCGAAGCAGTGGCGACCACCAGATTGCGAGTCCCATGCACGACACCCGTTTCACCACGGCGGCATCCGGTCGTACAAGAGTAAGCTGCTCGGCTATAATTAGACCTTCGTGTTGACCCTAGTTGCTGGGTTTTGGTCTTGCTCAGAGATGCACTGCATCTGCGGACACTTGCCTCGTTCTAAGGAAACGGAATAAAGGTCATGCTTTTGAAAGAAGGTTATATCTTTTTGCCTCTCCGCAGATTGAGTGACTTTGTGCGTTGGCAATTCTTGCGTTTTTAAAGGTATGCAGTCGATAACGATTGCAGGGCACATGACCTAAATGCCTATGAGCACACTGTGTATACATCTTGACGCAGAAGTGTTCAGGATCAAACTCTACTGATGGAATAGGTGTATGGCGCTGGTGCGTGGTTACAACCGCTGCACTTACTACGCTCTTGTTTACGTTTCCTGGCATAAAGTACCGGACCCACAACAGGATGTTTTCTGTACCCCCCTTTTGGTTTCACTTCTCTCTTCTGCCATAGTTTCTTCCACTTTCTCCCAGACGAATTTTCCCGTGAGCGTCACGATTTCCTCCGTGCCAGAAGCCCCCTTATCGAAGATGTACATTGAACTAATTCAACTCATTGCTAGGGCCCATTTCTAGCAGCGTAAACATGTCGCAGTTCACCAAGCGTTGTTTTAAGCAGGCCTGACTGCTGATATGACACTGTCAAAAACCGATCTTGAGTTTGCTTCTGTTAAACAAATGCTGCTGAAAAATATTGTACCAGAAGCCTTGTGTAGCTGATCGGATGTTTAAAAAAAAAAACTTTTATGTGATGAGATGGTTATCGGATGGAGGTGTTTTGTTGTCTGCTTATTTATTGTGTTAACTCATTGCAGGCCCAGTGTCTTCCTCGCCCATACTTTCAGTATAGACCTCTGCTGCTGCACCGTGAACTTTTAGACTGTTTAAGTTGTAAGAATCGATTAAACAAATTTCATTGCGGATGTCGTGCACGTTTCTCCACAGAACGGCACTTGTGAAACAAAATCACAAGTGCTGTTCCTGTGTTCGTGGCGCTCGATGACGAATGGGCCCCGTGCCCCCTCAGGATGCCCTGGGACTTGTCGGCGCTGCCTCGGCTGTCCCTGGCGCTCATTGTCATCGTTGGTACTGGGCTCCACTTGTTTTATCTCTGGCTGTGTCACGGTGTTCTTTTTATCGTCTCTCCTATGTTTCTCTGCCCTGCCCCCCAACGGAGGACGGTAGATGGTGGGCAGGGGGAAGGGGGTAGCTGCCTTGATGTGAATCCAGAATATCAAGGGATGCCGGCCCCTTGCGCTCCGACCTCCGATCCGACCCCGGCCAGCTCTGTTGATGCCGGCATGTCGACCCGACTCTACGAGCCGCGCCAACGCTCGGCGCGACTTCCGCGGCGCCTCCTTTAGAGTGCGAGCGCAACTCAAGCTCCCCCTCGTTGTCCCCACCCCCTGCCTCTCGTCCCCCACCGCAGGATGTAAATAGCGCTGGCGGGGAGGCAGCAGCGCCATGTACAGCGGCATGCGGGGCGGCGGGACCGGCCAGGGCGTGGGGCCTGGCGGGGTGGGCTCGGTGCTGCCGGTGGTGGGCGGGAAGTCGCTGAGCGGCGGTGTCGGCGGCGGCGGTGGCCGGGGCCACCACCGCGCAAGCTTCTTCATCCTGCTCAAGGACCAAGATGTGGACGAGCGGTGCGGGCCCGTGCCCAAGGGCAGCATCTGCTTCACCGCCGACGGGCAGGACATCTGGGATGCGCAGGTGAGATGCAGCGGAGTGGCGGCGGTGCGCTTTCTTGAGCGGGAGACTGCCGTTGCCGCCTTGGTTTTTGCGCTTAACCATTTCCCGTTCCGATGACGTACATGTGCGTCATCAGTTTTTCTTCCAGTTCCGTTACGATGACTTAAGTACACGTGCGGTATCGGAACGGAATCAGAAGAAAAACTAAAATAACTTATTTGGTATCGAGGCTCCCGCAAGGCCATGCGGGCAGGCGTGTGGCACAGTTTGGTGGCAGCTATCATGGGATGTGGGCTTGTCGCTACAATTCTCTGCGATGAGTACGATGTCTTTAAAAAATTAACCCGTAAAAACAAAGTTTTTCACTTTAAATCCTTTATATGCGTGGCGGCTAGAGTCCTCTCGTCCTCTGGCTTGAGATGGCTGCCACCTATGGGTCAGATGATTGCCTGCCACCTTTAAGCAATTGGTAATTAAATATAATTTATTTTTTCCTAAAAAGTGTTAAATTTTGGAATATAAATTGTCACGCACAACGAGTCTGTGTGCAAAATGTCAGCTCGATTGGATCACGGGAAGTGGGTTAAAAAACGACCGAAAGATTTGCACGGTCGTAAGCGCGCAAGCAAGCAAGTGAACTTAATATAAAGGATTTAAAAATGACGGCACAGTGCCTCGCTAAATAAAATTGATGCTTAACCGCTTGCGCGTTCCGAGATTTAGCAGTGAACAGGACACCCACACTGCAACTTACATAATTTTGGAATGGGAAAGTGTTATAAGGTGAACAGGCTCGCTCTCGCTCAGACACAGACCCGCTTGAACACGGGGACAGTCTCACAGACACTACTAAGATGTGCCGCAGGCCCCAATTTTTATTTGAATCTCAAATTGAAACACGCTAGCGCGACATCTGCTGCAGTTACATCTCGAGAATCATTCTATGTGAAGCGGAACTGCGCTGCGATGTTTGTGTGCGCGCTGCCTTGGCTGTCTTCCCCCCCCCCGTTTCTTGACTCCGTGTAAACATATTTGACGCTGTGTAAGCACCGTCTCATTACGCGTTTTTTGCTATGTATTTGTCACTGAACACCCGAGACAACCCTTGCGAACGATATGTTCCATCTCAAGGGAACATCCTGGTGATGGATTTTAATTTGGAAAAATTTAAACCATCGTACGCGTAAGGTGGAGGGGCGGTGGGGGGGGGGGCGCGGTACCAGCCTCACGACACACCTGTGCAGCGTGCCCCCGTTAGCCACTGGTGGATGTGAGTGCGCCAAGAGGGCAGTTATCGGCTGACCGACGTCGCCAGCCTTCCTCCCAATTGCATTGCTCACGGACACTCCACAGTGCCATCTGACAAACACCCCCACACATCTCTCTGCCATAAAGAAGGGCCATTGCCCGAAACGTTGCCTATTTTATATATAAGTGTTTCACCTCTTTAGGGCATTGTCTTCGAGCAGGGCGCGCTAACCGCCGCGCCAACGCTGCATCCCCCGCAGCCCAGTTGTACGGGGTGATGCATTCATCGATACCCCACTGATTTCTAGCGGCCCTCTTACTTGCCTCTCAGCAGCTGATTGAATACCGTGAAAGCGACGCCCCCATAGCTCACTAACCGAGGAGGAGGAGGAGGGCGTTGAAAGAGATTTAATGCATCTGTTGAGATCGGTGGGAGACGGCGTAGAGGATTTGAAATAAAATGTCGTTTTCTTGCTCACGGTAACTCGACCGTCCTCTCGATGTTTGCGGGGTAAAACGGATCGCCGTGGGCTTCTACGGAAGAGCGCCCACGCTCCCCCTCGAATAATTAGTTTATCTTTCGCGGCGGCGTCTTAGCTTTACCTGGGGCTCATGCCGTTGTGCCACGGCTTGTAACCGCTGGGCGGTCCACGCACTCTGTGGTTTCCTGGTGCGATCGCACGCCGCGCGGCTACGGGGTATTTTCTGGTACACGCAAACAAAAGCTCGGCGCGAGTGCGGCGGCGGTGTGTATTGGGGTCAGATTGCAAAGTGCACTCCTGGCACGGGTTTTATGCAATCGGATCGGGAGACTTTCAGAGATGTAAATCCGGGCGTTCCTGCGCAGGCTGCCCGAGAGTAGAGAAATGCGAGGTGGTTTTTTTTTCTTTCTGCTCAGTACAGTTTTTTTTTTCTATACAGTTCGGTCATTTGGCCCCCTTCTCCTAGCTTTTGGTGTTGTTTTTTTGTGTGAACAAATGAACCTTATGGCGGGAGCCCGGGGTCCCGAATAAACGGAAGTCAAAATCGTAATTAATAAAAAAAAATTGTTGACTCCGTCGCACCGCGCACATAAACGCCACAACCCACCTGGCGCGGATCATTCTGTTGTCATGTCGTCCAAGCGCAGCGAAGACAAATGCCGTCGTCATGAACAAAACTTTGATTAGCGCATCGTGTAGAGCTCGTCGACAGCAATAGATTGCCGTATCGTTCGCCTTCAACAGACATAAAATAACGTCGCAACGCAGTTTATGCGAGAGCCGGGTGCTTATGGAACCTCGGGGTCCCGCCGTAAGGCTCAAATGCAGAGATGAGCACATGGCCAGCAATCCTGCGTCTCTTATTAAGGACTGCTGCCCCGTGACGTTATTCACCACAGTGCATTGCGGCTCTTTAAATATAGAGTTTTTTTTACCGAATTCGAAAAAAAAAATTGCCTCCCCCTTGTTATTTTGGTTGCCGACCCCTGGCTGAGTGGATCGGTGCTAGATCGAGTGAGAGGGGCTCACTCATCAGGAAAGGTTGCGAGTTAAATTTCTGGTTGGAGGTTGGTTGTCCCCCACCGTCCCACGTCTGGGTTGAATACAAGGAGTGGCACTGTGTGGGGGGGAAAGTGGACAGCGTTCATCCGAAGGGTGTACTCGTCCATGCCATTTTTATAATGACAAATTTCCACCACACCTGCGACTGTAGCTGCAAATCAAACGGTGGAATGCATCAACGGCACTTGTCCACTTAACTCTCGATGTGGGCGGGGGGGGGGTGTAAGGTCTTCAATTGATCTCACCAGAAGTTATCTTGTCAGTACACAACTTGCCTTTAAAGCAACCTAAAAAAACATTTTTAATGTGTCTGTTGGCACACTTTTGTCCCGATTTGTGACTGGCGACACAGTTGCTATAACAATTGTACCTCACGGCAGCAAGAAGGACCTGGGTTCAATTCCCAACTTGAGAATGCCTTTCAACGTGGAATTCAGAATCGGGATGTTTATTTATCCTGGAGGAATCCGATGCGCTATAAAGCTCTTTTTCACAGATGTCCAGTAGTTTGTATGGGTTTCCTACTGGGTGTTCCCGGTTTCCTCCGATAACTAAATTTGTTTTTACTTACAACGTAACCGGTATTCGCCAGACATGTCAATGCTGAAAAATTACCTCTCAGTTGCGATTATACGCAGCAGCAGCAACGTACTCCCCGACTGCGACCCTCCTGAATATAATAGTCTTGTGTAATCAAGCGGAAATAAATAAATGAATTGTGCCAATATCTAGAAAAAACACATTCCTGCGGAGGGAGCTGGTAGGAACGTTGGGTTGCCCGGTCAATGGCCAGGATCAACGGCGGCGTGGTGTATTCCGCAAATATGGCCGACTGTGAGGGCGGGCACAAGCCGGCGTGAGTAGGTTAAACGTTGAGTTTTATAAGGGCACCACCCAGCCCCACCCCCCACCCAGCCCCACCCTTCCCACCCAGCCCCTCCCGACCCTCCCCTCTCCACCCAGCCCCACCCCACCCATTTTTGGATGCACGACGGACGGACGGACACAATAATCCCCTGTGGGCTGGTGTAACCAGGAGGTTCCTACCAGTATAATCCATTTGTGACTCTCACAGAGCAGTGGCTACCCTTTGTATCGGAGAACGGGCCTTGGAAGGGAATACTGCAGAACTACCTCGGAGTTCCCCTCAAGCGATTGATGGTGTACACAGAACGGGGCAGAACTTGTGGATCCGCTCTGCGACCTAGAGAAATGCTCCCTTCATGACCGCCAATTCTCACAACTGGAATGTCGCCAAATTGAGGGCAGAAGCTAACATAACGTGATGTGTTTTTTTGTTGCATCGTCATTGGTGACGTGGGGTGGGGGGGTGCTGACGCCATCAACTCGCCACTCCTCAGAACCCGGTTTAATTGCAGGCGTTGAGACTGTTTGGATTTTTTTTTTGCCGCTATAAACGTCCGAATGAGAAGCCACTTTGTTGAGCTCTCCTTTGTGGCTGGGTCCCTTTTGACACGTGGCTCGAAGCGCGCTGCGTCAGCATTAACGTAAACCTCAGTGGGCTTGGCCTGGTGGGATGGGGATGCTTTAGTTTTAGTTGTATGTGTTTGGGTGATTTGTCTTGTACTTTGCACTCCTATCGTGTTTGTGTACTGTTTGTTGTAACGTTTGTACCCGCCCTTACTAGACATCCGTGAAAAGAGTTTAATAGCTCATCGGATTCCTCCAGTATAAATAACTATTCCGATTCTGGCTCCTACATTGAGGGAAAAACGTATTTGATCCCCTACTGATTTTGTACGTTTGCCCACTGACAAATAAATGATCAGCCTATAATTTTAATGGTAGGTTTATTTGAACAGTGAGAGACAGAATAACAACAAAAAATGCAGAAAAACGCATGTCATAAATGTTATAAATTGATTTGCATTTTAATGAGGGAAATAAGTATTTGACCCCTCTGCAAAACATGACTTAGGACTTGGTGGCAAAACCCTTGTTGGCAAACACAGAGGTCAGACGTTTCTTGTAGTTGGCCACCAGGTTTGCACACATCTCAGGAGGGATTTTGTCCCACTCCTCTTTGCAGATCTTCGTCGGCTTTCAGTGTCACGGAGAAAATGCCAAACCACACCGCGCGGTACAACTCGCGGAGAGCTTGACCGTCTGTTAATTTGTTTTCATCGATGCTGTTTGCAGTTTAGTTTTTCTGGGAGGGGTTAAACGAAACGGAAAGCTATCCGCGCCTTTTCCGCACCCGCTCGCCCACTCGCCCGCGCTTCTCTTCGCAACGCCGATGTTGACAAATCACCACTTTTGTTTTCCTGTGTCGGAAAACACCCCGAGGCAAAGCCAGTGAACGCGATAAATGGCGAGGCTGCGGGTAGAAAGTGCTATCGGAATCGAATGCGTAATAGCCGCGTAGTCGTTAAATATTAATATTTCTTAAAAACATTCATTACGGAGCGGCGAGCAATTGTGCCACTATGTTTTGTTTGCCCCGCCCTGCCCCCCCCCTCCCCCAATACGATGAGACGTGCGTTTAAAGTGCCAATCCGTTTGTGCTCAGGGACGAACAATGCTTGCTGTGACCTTTGTGGACTACCTGGACACCATCGCCAAAGTGCTTCCAAAGGCATTGAAGTGAGTGTTTGGGTCAGTGAGAGGCTAAGTGAGACGGTGGTTTGAGATTGGGTGGGTGAGTGGATGGTTGAGTGAGTCAGTGGGTGAGTGATTGGGTGGATGAGCGGGTGGGTTTATGAGAGAGTGTGTGGTTGAATGGGTGGGTGAGTGATTGAATGAGTGGGTGGTTTGGTGTGTGGCTATATGACCCAGCGGAAGTGACTTCCTGTGGAAATGAGCACGAAGGCTATGTTCAGCTCCTGTTTACAGCCCAGAGTCGGTGAAAAACAGGGGTGTCACGGTGGCGAGATGTTAGTTACCTTGTCTGGTATGCAGGAGGTCGTGGGTTCGATCTCGACCCCGACACCCGTATATTTGGAGTTTTCCCTCCACATTTAGAATCAACGTGTGTTTCAAGTATTTGGTTGCTATTACATTTCCACACGATGATCCACTTCATTGAGATATAATTTGTGGCCAGGTCGCATCTGAGAAAGAGTTATGCAGTAGATCAACGATTATCCAGCGGCCCAAATTTTTTAAAACGCCAGATAATCACTAATCATGATTTTAAATAGCTTATTTTGGCACATTCTTGTGTAACATGTTTTTAGGTGTTTTGTTCGCTAACGCAATCGAACGCATTGCATTTAAGGAGGAGTCTACTGTTCATATGCTCTTGTTTTACCCATCTGTTCAATCACCGGTGCTCCAGCGTACACTGAATTACATGCACTTTTTTCCGGATCGCACTGTGTGTTTTCTGTTTTTATTAGTTATTAGTCGTGAAACATGTTTTTATATGTGTTGTATTTTTCATGTTTAAATTGTATGTAGTGCATAATGTCATTTCGCACTGAAATCGACCATCGGTACTTTTTTTGTGACGCACGTGGTACCGATCGCCGAACTGGTGTACACCCTTCGGAGCGGTTTTCCGGCGTTGGCCGGATGACATGCCGGTTTCACCGGATCTGCCCCGCACCGCCGAATAATGTTGGAAGCCGGATAATCGACAATCTACTGTATAGCTCAGTGGGCCTTACCTGGTAAAATAAATATAGTTTAAGTAGTTTTACTATTACATCCAATTCTAGAGGGCCGATCGTTGTTGACTTCCCCACAAAGTGGTAGACATTTTACCGACCCAGTTAAGGGATGATGGTCCCGGGTCAACCGCCAACCAGGATTTCAACGAGCGCAACCTTCCGATCGCGAGCTGCTCTCCCTACCTGCCGAGCCGCAGCACGGGAAGGGGGGTGGGGTGGGGGAGACAGACCTTCATCCAGCAGTGGATCGACAGGGGGCCTGGCGGATTTTAATTAAGCAAAGGTCCGTCCGTCGATTTGTTGATTGGGCTCGCGAGCCGGCGTTCCCACGCAAAAGGCCACTCGGGTCCCAAGAAATCGTGGCCGTTTCACGCGGAGCGTTTTGGTCCCGTTATCGATTCCACTTAGCGGCGGCACGTGACCTGCGCAGCGCGCGCCCGCTGGGGAAGAGCCCAGCGGAGCCGATTAATTTCCCCGTGGCACAATCGCTCAAGGTGGTGGTGGGCGGGGGGGGTGGCATGGTGGTGTGTTGGGAGGTTCAGGCATCTGATGGATTTCCTGCTCAAACGAGAACTGAGGCATTGCGCTCGTCTCCTGTTGACGCTGCCAAGCCAGCGGTGGAAAGTCCACATTCCCATGGCGGGGGAGAGTGTATCCGTAGGGCAACCACTGTTGACTTCCCAACAGTGCGCTACTCGTTTTTGAGACCTCCGTAGGGAGGATGGGCGAGTCCAACGCCCAAGCAGGATTTGAACCTTGCAACCTTCCGATTGCGAGCCACCTGGCCGGTTTCTGCACGTGATGCCCTTTTGTCAATCCACTGCTGGATGAAGGCCCCCCCCCCCCTCTCTCCCCCATGCCATGTCATTTGTTAGGTTTGTTTGACCATACTTCACCACACTGGTCAGTGGGGGTTGGTGAAAGGTTAGCGGGAGCCCAGGACCGGTCAGATATCACTCGCCACTGACGTTTGCCACGGTCAGGAATCAAACTCTGGTTGCCAAATTACCAGCGCAGCGCTCTAACCACTGTGCCACCGCTCCACTCCCAATCATTAGGTCCACGTGTATCACCAGGCCATTCGCCGATCCACTGCTGGATGAGGGCCTCCCCAAGCTGTCCTTGTCCACGGGGGTTATTTTTCCATACTTCACTACTCTGGTCCATGCGGGTAGTTGACGTTGGGGGGGTAGAGCATAGAAGTACATAACAACAATGCATTTATCTGCACTGACCCACCACGTGTCCCTGCAGCCACCTCGTGTACATGGTGCTGTCCAGGCTAAGAAGATTTGCTTAAAATAAAAATGCCGACTAAATAACACCGTTGCCTTCCGCTGCCTTTCAATGTAGTCGTACCCTCCCTTTAACGAAGAATCGGCAAAACGAATGAATGAATAACAAAAATAATTTCTCGCTAACTTTATAGGGCATCATTAATGCCAAGCGCATCTCAAAATGCTGTGGAATCTGTGACACGCGCGGTAAAACAGTTCAACATACATACGTACAAAGACCACAAGCAAGCCGGAAGGCAGCCAGAACCGGCGCCAACAATTACCCGAGCTTTGTGCTCCTATATTTGGATGTTCGTCTAACTCCCCTAATGGGTGTGTTTATATACATGCGGGAGGACACTGGGGTAGCCCCCGGCGGATGAACTAATGAACGAATGAATAAACTGGCGGTGCTGCAGTGAGCTGGAGGAGGACCTGGCGCTGTGCCTCATCGCGATGCCGTCTCGTGAGGACCGCTTGCGCGTCGTCGGTGACGCCGGGCGCCTGGAGATGCTGCGCTCGCTGCGCCCCGGCGCCGTGGTGCGCGTGAACCTGGCGGTGGCCGGGCCGCGCGAGGCCATCGGCGTCGTGCGCTACTGCGGCCCGCTCGACGACCGGCCCTTCTCCGGCACCAGTTTCGGCATCGAGCTGCAGGTGAACACGTCGTCCCGGTTCGCTGCCGGTGGCCGGTGCGGGGTGGGGTTGAGAGGGGGGGGGGGGGAGATGGCGTAGGGAGGGGTGATCGAGGTCAAAGCGCGGTGTGCTAATTGCTGTGCCACTGTTCCACCCCACTTCCCGTCGAGTGCCGCTTATTTCATCGCCACTGAATGGGATTTGAACTTATAACTTGACTGTCTTGAGTCGAGCGCTTTAATCACCGAGTCGCCCTCTGTGTGTGTGTGCCCCTGTGTGTGTGTGCCCTCGTGTGTGTGTGTGTGCGTGCCATGTATGTGCGGTCGTGGTAGTGGTTAGCGTGCTGCGCTACGAACCTGGTGACCTGAGTTCGGCTCCCACTCACGGCCAACATCAGTGACGATTAATTATCTGAACTGCTCCTGGGCCCCTCCCCTAGGTCGCCTCCAATGAGTACCTGGTGCGGTGTGTAATCATCGCCACTGGGGCGTGGTGCTTGGCCACCCACCGCCTCGTGTGCCGCACCGGCCTTCGTGGGTGCTCGCTTAACGGCACTTGCCCAGCGACAGTCTGTTGAAGGCCATTACGGGGGCATCTTTGTCTTCGCCTAGGGATATTACCGGGGCAAGGGCGTGACGGACGGAACGTACAGCGGCAAGCGCTTCTTCACGTGCGACGAGGAGTGCGGCGTCTTCGTGCACCTGAACCGCATCGTGCGTTTGGAGAGCGAGGACGAGAAGGACTACCTGTACCCCGAGCGCGTCAGCGTGCTGGTGAGGGCGGCGCCGGATAAACCAAGTGGCAGCACCTTTTTTACACTTTCCCGCTTGCGTCTTTAAACGACGCACGGGCTCGTAGCCCCCCTGCCTCGGCAACATCTTGCGCATCCACCGGCGTGGCACAGTACGGCAGTGGATGTTGCCCGCCGCTGCGCCCTGCTGACGGGCAATGAAACCTCGAAACCGATCACTGCCAAACTTTTAACGCGCAAATGCTTTAGCGGCCAATATGATGATTCGTAATTGCATTCTTCCGGGCAAGACACCTGATGATGATGCTGGATGTCATCTTCAGCGAAACAATATTACGCAAAATTGTGCATAATTTTGCTTGCCTTTCAACATTCCCCCCCTCCTCCCATTTGCTGAAAGAAAATAACAAATCAATTGTCATTTTTGCCCATAACGTGACAGCTTGATTCGATTGGTTCCGTCGGGTGGTGGAGGGTTATAGTTACAATACACACCGACGCGGCGATCGAAACCCGTGCAGCTGCCGCCAAGAGCGTCAGCCGCGCCTTCCACGGCATCCCGACTCGACCGCTGCAACTCGCTCCGCTCCCTGTTCCCCAACAGGACAGCCTCTCCCTGGACGGCAACAGCTATAATGCGCTGGGACTGGGGGGCAGCGGCGCTAACGGGGGGCCCTCGGCGCCGAGGCCGATGAGGCCCAGGAGCACGCGGGACTTGTCGCCCGAGCACGGAGCCCAACTGCCGACCGTGCACTGTGAGTGTTGCTGTCACCGGGGCTTTCGCTCGCTCGTCTGCTCGCCCGCTCGCTCGCTCGCCTGCTCAGCCGCTCGTTCAACTGCTCTTTCGTCCGCTCGCTCGGCCGCACGCTCGTCCGCTCGCCCGCTCGCCCGCCTGCTTGCCTGCTTGCACGTCCGTTCACCCACTCACTCGTGCATTCAGTCGCTCGCTTGCCCACTCGCCCGTCCACTCGCCTGATCGCTCGGCCACTCAGCCGCTCGCTCGCCCAATCGCTCGGTCGTCCGTTCACCCGCTCGCTCGTCCACTCATTCGTCTGCTCGCTCGCCCACTCACCCACTCGCTTGCCCACTCACCCGCTCGCTCGCCCACTCACCCGCTCGCTCAGAATCGCGACACCACTTGGATCATGTGTTGCGACGGGCAGGACTCTCACTTGATCACCTCATCACTCGCCACCGATGTTAGCCGTGCCTGACACAGACGTGTAATGGCCTTGCTCTAAAGGACACCGTGAACCTCGACAATCTCGGTATCTTTTTGCCGATCGACGTCGGTCGGCCGGCCCGCCCCTTGCCATTTTCTCCGTGGTGCAGCGGGAAGCCGGTACGCCGCGGGGTCGGACCTGACGTCGCAACAGTATCAGAAGGACCCCTCGCGCAACAGCTTGGCCGTGGGCAAGCGGCTCGCCCACCAGAGCTACAAGGCCATCGGCGAAGGCCGCTCCTTCCTCAACAACCACATGCACAACAGCGGCATCGGCAACCACGCGCCCGACTTAAAACGCGGCCTTGGCGGCAGCCTCGTCGCCCCAGGGGACGGCGCCGCCGACGACTATCTCCCGTCGAAGTACGCCCAATCGGCCGAGACGTCTCTGCAGACGGGCGGCCGCAGGGGCGGCCCCGTGTTCTCGTCGTCGCCGCCGCCGTCGTCTTCGCCGGCGGTGCTTGGGCAGTCGAGGGGTTTGGGCGGCAGGCAGAGACCGGGGAGCGAGCCGGCAAGCCAGTTCTACAACACGCTGGGCGGCACGCCCATCGGGCAGAACTCGCAGACGACGTGGTACTGCGGCTCGCCGGCTGACCCAGACGCCGGTGGGTGGTGCCCCCCCACCCCCCCCCACCCCCCTCCCACACCTCGCCTTTCGAACCGAGTTCCCGGCGCGCGAGCGGTAATGGCGCACGCCATTTTGGCTCTCGTGGCGCTTGTTGTTCGGCGTGCTCTCCGACCTTTCCCCGCACGACCTTTCGCCCACTCCATCTGTTCGCTCTCTATCTTTTTTAAGGGGCGCCACGGTGGTGTGATGTGATCTTCCTCGCCCGGTATGTAAGAGGTCAGGGGTTCGATCGCGACACTGACGCCTGTTGTATATTTGGAGTTTGCGTGTTCTCTCCGTGGTTGTGTGGATTTTTTCTCCGAGTCCTCCGGGTTTTCCCTCCACATTTAGAAAAATGCATTTGGATAATTTAGATTATTTCCACGTGATAAGCCACTTTGTTGAGCTATCATTTGTGGCCAGGTTAATACCTGAGTGGCCTTTTACCTGGTAAGATAAAACATAGTTTAGTTGTATTTGTATATGTTTTTAACCGATTTGTTTACCTTCCTATACTTTGCAAGCCTATCGTGCTTTGGGTATTGTTCTGACCCGCCCCTACTGGAACGTCCTGTAGACAAAGAGCTTTAAGGCCAATCGGATTCCTCCAGTATAAATATATTTTCTCATTCTTATTTTGGTGCCGCAGTGACGAGCTTGGGCGGGCGATTCAAGTCGGAGCTGAGCCTGAAGCCGCTGCGGCCGCACGTGCCGCACACGTGGCCCGACATGGGCCTGCGTTCGCTCGGCGACGCGGCCAGCGTCACCAGCGGCTTGGGCAGCAGCTGTTCCGTGGGCGGTGGCGGCAGTGAAGGTTTTGCCGCCGTGCCGTTTAGTTCGGGGCGGTCTCGTCCCTCGCTCTGCAAGACCAACTCCAACATCGCGCCTTTCTTCCCGGCCGCTGAGATGGTGAGGAGGCGGCAGTGTGGATTTCACGAGTAGGGCCCCGTGTCCCGGCCTCGTGATCCAGGTTTAAAAAAAAAAAATTACACGCAGATTTCTTCATTTGAATGACCAACGGCAACATCACCCCCCTCTACCGACAGACTAATGTTCTCCTGTGGGCCGGTGCCTCGGCATATCTCGTGCTCTACAGGGACAGCTTTCTTCAGGGGGTCCCCTCGGCTAAAAAGAGAATCATAGCTGGGCTGTGGAGTGATTGAGATGTGTGATATAAGGTGCTTTGAGATGCTGGGGCATTTTAAGCACCTAATGAATGCAATCTTAATCTTTAGCCTTGCCGAAAGTCCCTGATGTCAAAATGAGCCGTTGTCTGACCCTGATTGACCGATTGGCGATGGATAAAGCGAATGAAACGGTACAAATAAGATAATTAAAAAAACAGTGCCAACGAGACGGTGGAAACGAGGTGAGGAAATGTCACAACCCCGGATCGTGACGATTCATGGCATCGCCAATGAGCGGCGAACGGTTTCACGTCCAGATATTAAAATAAAAATTCCTGGACTCCCCCAGCGTATAATCTTGAGGCGCGTAGAGACAAACCAAGGCATCTTCAGCATTCGTCGACTTGCCATAACGGCAGTGGTTATTTTTTTAACACGCGGAAGAATGCCGTCACCTCGCCGCGTTTGTCTCCAGGTCGGCGGCCGGACGGCAGGCGAGGGCCGCCCTAAGAGGCTGCCGGAAGACAACGGGCCTGGGCCTCCTGGCGGCCTCACCGATCCCGAGGCCCCTCCGTCGCGTCCCCGCACGCTCTCGGACCCCGCGGCGGCGGTGGCGGCGAACTTAGGCGGCCTCGTCGATCGGTCGCCGGCGACCCCTCCGACCCCGTTGTCGCCCTCGCCGGTCGGGGGCAAATACGAGCTGGAGAAAGGCTCGCTGGTGGAGGTGATGGCCAAGGAGATGCGCGTGTTCGGAGTCATCCGGTGGATCGGCGTGCCCCTGGGCTTGGACGAGACGCTGGCCGGCATCGAGTTGGTGGGCCGTTTTCCTTTTTTTAATTTGTTTGCGCCGTTACGAGGTTTTTGTTGTTGAAGGAATTAGTTTTGGTTTGTACGAGACTCCTCTGCCCGTCACCGGATTCACCCATAGTGTACCACACGTGGGCAGGTTTCGGTTGAGTTGGGTTGAGCCCGGATAGTGTGACCACGCTACTCACGGCCTGTTTATCTTAGGGAGCTGTAAGGCAGAGGGCAGTGTTACGAAATCGACTGTTGTACTGTCCGTCTATACGCCCCCCCCTCACCCCACCCCGTCTATTCTCACCACTTTCACCAACCAGTGGGTTAACAGATGCTTCCGCTTGCTGCAACCTTAGTTTGAAAGCGTCAAGGAAGGCTAACACGTTGGTCTCGTTGTGGCGCGTGCGTGCATCTGTCCGCGCGCGCGCTCGTGCTCGCAGGAGGAGGAGATGCAGGGCTGCACGGATGGAACCTTCAAACAGCACCGCTTCTTCACGTGTCCGCTGGGGAAGGGCTTCTTCATCCAGTTCACGAAGTGCCGTCCGGACTCGCGCTTCATGTCCGTGCCGCACATCGGCCTCGACCCCGTGCAGCGCTGCAACTCGCTCGGTAACCCGGATGGCGGTGGTTGGCGATGGTGATTGTACGTGTGTACGTTGAACGTCTTCTTGGTTCTTTCGGTAAAGTCACGTAGAAGGGAAATAAAAAAAATAAAAAATTTGTATTCTTTTATTATGTTTTATTCTTTTTTATTTTATTATTTCCCTTCTACGTGACTTTACCGAAAGAACCAAGAAGATGAATCCCTGCAGTCACGAAAGCTTTAAATCGAAATTTTACGTTGAATGTCTTTCGCACCGTACGTAGCCAGCCGTGCTAATCGGAGGTGCGGGGGAAGGACAACTCGTAAACTTTGCGTTGGTGGCTGTTTTTCCGGAGGCGCCAATGGTGGCGGAGCTTCGTTAAACGAGGACAAAAATCCTTTTATTTGCCGTCTTTTTCTTCTGATGCATGCTCCATCCCGATTGCGCCGTCGGCGCCGCCGCGTCACGAGACGGAAGAATCCGTTCAGTACACTCCGCCCGGCGCGTTCCAGATGTTTTTTTTTTGTGTCATCGCCGCGACGGCAGCAACGACGATCAATCCGGAACGAGGAGTGAAACGACGTCACCGCCGCCGCGTGTCTCCCCCGCCCCGTTCCCCCACTCCGGCAGCGTTCAGCAACTACCGGAGCGAGCGCGTGGAGGGCGAGGTGCCTCCCCCTTCGGAGAAGGAGGCCACGGCGGTGGTGTGCGGCCGCACGAAGGGCATCCAGGGCCACTACAACTCCTGCTACCTGGACTCCACGCTCTTCTGGTGCGCCCCCCTACTAAACTAAACTATCTTTTAATTTTACCAGGTAAGGCCCCCGCTGAGCTTATAATACAGCTATTTTTTCAGAAACGACCTGGCTGTCACAAATAATAGCTCAACGAAGCGGCTTATCGCGTGCAAGGTCAGTGCAGGCAAATACTCAAGACGCGTGTCTCCAAATGTGGAGGGAAAAACTAGAGGGCCTGGAGGAAAATCCACGTGACCATGGGGAGATCATGCAGACTCCAAATATACGGCCATCGGGGTCTGAATCGAACCCAGGCACTCCTCCGTACCAGGCGAGGGAGTTAACATCTCGCCACTTGAACCCTTGGGTTTAAACGTCTCACGGAATGTTTTCTCCGCTACCTTCATAACGTGGCGTAGGCACATGACTAGCAGCCACAGCCATAGCGAGGGGTATACCGGATACGGTGTGCTAGGCGGTGAAATGTTTTTAATTACCTGACCGCTACATCCTGGCCCATGAGCTGTAGGTTCCCTCAACAGCTTTGACAGGGCATACCTTTCAATTGTTTATTGCCACGTGTGCTGACCGACGCCCCCGTGCGCGCCTGTGTTGTGCGTGTCTCTCCGCGTCTCTCTGCGCGCCAACGTCCACCTGCGCATGCAGCATGTTCGCGTTCAGCACGGTGTTCGACGGCATGTTGCACCGGCCGCAGCGTTCCAGCGACCTCAAAGATTACCCTAAGGTGCAGCAGCTGCTTCGCGAGGACATCGTGAACCCGCTACGCAAGTACGTGGCGCGCGGCGTGGAACCCACGTTATCCCTCTCCCTTTTCCACCGGCACATCCGTGCCGAGACAGCGTGTGAGGCCGGCACGGTACGGGGTGGTTCTCCCACTGGCTATTTTCCATGCAGCGAGGACATCGTGAACCTGCCGTGCCAGTATGCAGCGCACAGTGTGCGTGGAAATCGGCCCCGATACTCGTGTTAACGGAGGGAGGGGGGGTGGGGGGCAGGTGGCTTGGGTGCCTTGGGCGGGGAGGGGCTTACAATGGCCATGTTGGAGCCACTGAGCCACCGTTGCAAAGATCCTGGGTGCTAATCCGTGTTTCAGCCACCGCGAGATGTAGCGATTTGATGGTCTGAGCCCATTAAAATGTGTTCGTGGCACAAATGAAATGTTATTGGGGAAAAAAATCTGAATTTCGCAGTTGGTTTGTCCCTTAAATTTCCATCTTCCAGTTTTGTCAATTAAAGATGTTCATTTCATTGCGTTGCGACAAACACTTTTGGCGGCGCCGATGAAAGGTGCGCCCCGAGCGTGGATAATGAGGCTTATAAACGAGGCTTCGTCGGAAGTTCAGCAGTAGCTCTGCGACATTGTCTTCCGGCGGGGGGCCTCTCCCCAGAGAAAAGACGAGGGTGGTGGTGGTGCGGTGTTGTGTGTGAGAATTCTTCACGGCAACGTTTTCGTCTCTCTTCGTGATGCTTGGCGGCACAGTCGGAATAATAATTTAGAAGAAAACGCACAAAAGAAATCGAACCAAAGTCGTCACCGTTGGCGTTGCGATGTCAACGATCGTGTGACCATGCACGTGACTGCTTGGAAAACTTTTCCCGACAACGTTTACCCAGATGGATTTATTTGATGCGACGCGTTTTTTGAAACACACCTCCTACTTGTATGCACGCGTGCGTGTGCGCACGTGCACGCGTACCGCGCTTCGTGATCTGCCGTTGAACGCTAAGGCTCTCTTACGGTGTCGCCGCGCAGGAACGGCTTCGTGAGCGCCACCAAGGTCATGCAGCTGCGGAAACAGCTGGACAAGATCGGCTACGTCACGGGGCTGACGTGCGAGGAGAAAGGCGAGTATGGACTGGCAGCGCGTGTTCGCGACGGCGCAGGGCCTGTCACGTCACACTTCTACTCACCCTTTCCCGTTTCAATGACGTAAGTGTGTTTGTGTGTGTACGTCATCGAAACGGAACCAGAAGAAAAACTCAAATGAAATAACCTTATCAGTACCGAGGCTCCCACGATGCCGATTAGCACGGCTCGCTATGTACGGTGCGAAAGAAGTTCAAAATACACACGTGCGGCACAGTTTGGCGCCCGCTATCATAGAGTGCGGTCGTGTCGTTAGAGTTTTCTGCGGTGAGTACGATGTCTTTTAAAACAACCGCGCTACGCCTCTCTGAATAAAATTAACACTGAGCCGCTCGCACGTTCCGAGATTCGCCGGTGAATGGGACCCCGCCCCCGCAACTTGCAGACGTCTCAGGAACGGGAAAGGTTTAATCGGCCGCCTCGGGCGGAGGAGCAGGGGGTTTACGACGCATTGTTGTGTACACACGACCTAACCAAAAAACCCAGTTGTGCGCCATTCAAACATTTGTGCGTGTTACCGCCGTGCCGTGCTGTGCCGTGCTGTGCCCCTGTCCCGAGCTGAGCGTTTAAAATAATCAACGCCCCGTGTTGTCGCTCGCGCAGATCCCGAGGAGTTTCTCAACACCCTGTTCCAGCACGTGCTGAAGGTGGAGCCCTTCCTGAAAATCCGGTGAGGCACGGAGGCATGGCTCGAAGCATCTCGCTCCTTTGACGTCACCTTCCATGGCCCTTCTATTTAAATTTTTTGGGTGTTTAGTTTGTTGTCCTTCCCCCGTACCTCCGATTAGCATAGCTGGCTACGTACGGTGGTGCTTAGCCGCGGGGTTCCCAACGGAAATGTGTTCTTGGTCGCATGAGATGACACGATGCCGCGAGCCCACTTGGAATAGAATTTTAAAAGTGCAAACTGTGTGTGGGATTTAGAATCTGTGCAGAAGGTTGCTGGCATAACTTTTTTGACTGTCGCCCTCCCTTGCTCATGCTGCGTTTACCTCCATACCCTTGGTGTTGCATCTCATCTCCTTATGTTAAGATGTGGTTTGCAGTTTCGATTTAAAGCTTTCGTGACTGCAGGGATTCATCTTCTTGGTGCTTTCGGTAAAGTCACGTAGAAGGGAAATAACAAAATAAAAATAAAACATGATAAAATACAATTCTCACGACGTTTCGGCCACAACGCAAGCAGCCGTCCTCAGGTGAAGAACAGGTCTGTCGGAAAGACAGCGTCAGACGCTGTCTTTCCGACAGACCTGTTCTTCAGACGCTGTCTTTCCGACAGACCTGTTCTTCACCTGAGGACGGCTGCTTGCGTTGTGGCCGAAACGTCGTGAGAATTATTTTATTATGTTTAAATTATTTTGTTATTTCCCTTCTATGTGACTTTACTGAATGAACCAAGAAGGTGGTTTGCAGTGTTCGGCAATTGAAATGCAATTTGCTATATAAAGTAAAATTCGTGTTTATTATTAAAAATGTTTTCTCTCCCTGGATTCGACCATGCCCAGATCTGGAAACAAGGACTTCCAGGACGGCCATTTCTACCAGATCTTCACGGAGCGTGACGAGCAGGTGAAGGTGCCCACGGTGCAGCAGCTGCTGGAGCAGTCGTTCCTCGCCGCCGACCTCAAGCTCGTGGAGGTGACGCGACGCGTCGCACGCCACAGCGCCGCAACCACGCCGCGATAGACACCGCTACGACCACACTGCACCACAACCACACAGCGCCACAACCACACAATGCCACAACCACGGCGCGATAGACACCGCTACGACCGTGCAGCTCCACAACCACACCCAGCGCAACAACCACACAGTGCCACAACCACACAGTGCCACAACCACACAGCGCCGCAACCACACAGTGCCGCAACCACGCCGCGATAGACAATGCTACGACCACACTGCACCACAACCACACCCAGCGCAACAACCACACAGCGCCACAACCACACAGCGCCACAACCACACAGCGCCACAACCACGCTGCGATAGACACCGCTACGACCACACTGCACCACAACCACACCCAGCGCAACAACCACACAGTGCCGCAACCACGCCGCGATAGACACCGCTACGACCACACAGGGCCATGACCACGCAGCAACCGCACACCGTTGCGCCACCGCGCTTGCACCACACCCGCACTATGCCAGGCGGCACTACATGATGTCACGCTACGCTCTGCTACACACCGCCATATTACCGCACACCGCCACCATTCGGCACCGTCATTCGCCACCGCAGCAGACAATACCAAGCCGCACAGAGACATTCCCCACCGCGCTAATACCGCACCACGCTGTGCTCCACACCTATGTCATACATCACCATGCGACAAAGGGAAGGGCGTTGCCTGGACACCATGATGAAGGTAGCAATGGTGTTAAAGTCCGCTACCGAAACCCGTCTGGAAAAGCAAGTCTCAGGTCAGCACTTGCCGCTTCTGCAACACCCAGAAGCACAATGTAATTAAGGTTAAAAGCAGGTAGTTTTTGTTGTTGTTGTATCGTATCTTCCTTGAACTCGAATCTATGAAAAGCTTGCTGCCAGCAACATGCAGGAGTTAGCCTTTAATCTCGCGTCTGGCTGATCGAAGTGACCTGATAATGCCACAGCAGGTATTCAGTGTCACCTGCCGGAGGGGGCCTTTCTCCAACACCGCTCGCGATGGACCGCAGCTCACGCGTGCCACACCTGTGTCTCTCCCGCAACCGCCCCTCGCCCGTGTCTCTGCAGACGCCCTCCTGCCTCATCGTGCAGATGCCCAGGTTTGGCAAGGACTTCAAGATGTTCAACAAAATCATCCCCTCCCTGGAGCTTGACATAAACGGACCTGCTGGAGGACGGTGAGCAGCGTCGGTGGCGCGTGACGAGTGGCCGCAGCCACAGAGAGAGGCATTCTGGATGTGGTGTGCTTTGTGTTCCACCGTGGGTTGTATGTATGTATGTATGCATGTTGAACTTCTTTTGCACCATACATAGCCAATTGTACTAATCGGACGTGCGGGGGAGAGACGCATGCACTCAGTATAATAATCTACTGCTCGATGAAATCATGGTGCTTGTTTGACCATACTTCACTCCGGTCAGTGCGGGTTTGTGTCAGGGGGCGGTGTCAGCTTATAACATTCGCTGCTGACGGTAGCCATGCCGGGGTATTAAACTCAGCTCGCGAGGTTCACAGTGGAGTGTGCTAACCAATGTGCCACCGCTCTCCACTGGATGCAACACTGCTACAATCCAAAATAATAATGAGAGATTAGAGAATCGAATCCCGATCCAAAATCACGATAATTCATCGTATCGTGGAGCCGTGTCTCCTTGTGACTCGCTGGACCGACTCGATTTCTCCGTACTACCCAACACCTTTACCGCGTGACCGAGCTTCCTCTCGCCCCCACCCCCCCCCCACCACCTCGCGTTGTGGTGTGTGCACAGCGCCGCGTGAATGCCACATCTGCGGCGGTCTCTCGCCGAGGAGGAGTGCAAGGATTGCTACCACGACCCAAGGATGGGACCCAGTTGCCTCAAGCAGTTCTGCTCAATGTGCAACAACAGGTGGGAGCCTGGCACTCTCTTCCCCAACGCGGCTGCCCCCTCTTTTGTCTCCCCAACTCTTCCGTTCACCGCGCCGCGCGCCGCACCGGGAGCTCATTTATACGAGTTGAGCTCGGGCACGTGGGTCGGTCGGCAACCTGCGGCTCCGGCATGCCGGCGGGCTCTTGAAGGCTCCGCTTGGCGACGGTGATTGTCACGGACCACCGCCGTCCGTCGTCGCGGTTCACCGCGGCGCTATCGCGGCTCTTGAACAGTTTTTTTTTTTACCGAATTCTAAAAAAATGGCCGCTCTTGTTGTTTTTGGTTTGCCGACCTCTGAGCTAGGGGAGGCCCAGGACCGCTCACATAAAATCGTCACCGATGTTGGCCGTGAAGCGGCAAATCGAACTCGGTGGGGGCACACAGGGTTCGTTTTAGCGCGGTGCGCTAACCGCTGTGCCGCCGCTTCTCACACGGCTAGCGCACGCACACAGACACTCGGACCGGGATGGGAATTACAGTGACGATGTAATTATTGTTCAGAATCACAATATTCTTGGTTCTTTCGGTAAAGTCACGTAGAAGGGAAATAATAAAATAATAAACATAAAACAATAAAATTCTCACGACGTTTCGGCCACAACGCAAGCCGTCCTCAGGTGAAGAACAGGGCTGTCGGAAAGATGAATCCCTGCAGTGACGAAAGCTTTAAATCGAAATTTAACAGAATCACAATCTTTACTTATCCTGGAGAAATCCGATGAGCTGTGAAGCTCTTTGTCACGGTTGTTCAGTAAGGGGCAGGTCAGAAAGTTACAACAAATGTCACCAAGTCGACGGTTTTATTCCACGAAGTCAGCATGCACGGCGACAGCCATGCTTCTTTTGTCATTGCACTGCCGGATGAGACCCCCACCCCATGCCGTACGGGTCGTGGGGGTCATTTGAGCATTCTTCACCACGCTGGTCACCGCAGGCTGGTGAAGGCGGTGAGCATAGACATCGGAGCATGGTACAATACAACAATGAGGCTTTGTCACACTGTCTTCTGCCGCCCGCGAGTCAGCGTCTTACAATCTCCATCCCACGGTTACGTTTGTTTCTCCTCGCGCGCGCATCAAACGCGCATCCAACGTCGCTTCCTCCGAACGCCGACAAAGGTTGTCGCTCGCCCGGCACGCCTGACGATCGCTAATGCGTCGCCAAACGCTTTTGGCCTCCCCCGCCGGAGCGCAGGTGCACAACCACCCCGACCGGCAGCAGCACCGCTCGGTGCGGAAGCTCGTGGTGACGGAGGAGGTGCGCGCCGCGTTCCTGGGGCCCGGCCGTCAGCGTCGGCACGGCGGCGGCGGCTGCCTCGGCGTGGCCCGCGAGAAGCTGGAGCTGTTTGCGGTGCTCTGCATCCAGACGAGCCACTACGTCGCCTTCGCCAAGCACGGCCCCGCCCCACAGTCGTGGCTCTTCTTCGACAGCATGGCCGACCGTGAAGGTGATTGCTGCGTACACTTTATTTTTTTTTTCTTCGTGACTTGCTTACCTTTGCACTCGTGTCACCGCGGTGGCTAGGAGATGGTAACTACCTCGCCTGGTATGCAGGAAGGTCGTGGGTTCCATCCCGACCCCTGACGCCCGCTGCTGTATATTTGGAGTTTGCATGCGCTCGCAATCGGACGGTCACGAGCTCAACTCCTGGTTTGTGGGGGTTGACTCAGCCCATCCTCCTTTTGGAGTCTGTTAATACAATGAGCACCACTGTTCAGTCAAGAGCGGTTGTCCTACCGTTCGACTTGCCCCCCACCACAGAAATGTGGACTTTCCACCGCGAGCTCAGGGCTGTAAACGAGCGATGACCAACCACCGCCCCGATAACTCTCTTGAGCCGCGATCGCTTGGAAAAACCAATTCCTCCCGTGGCCTCCCTCACCCGCGAACCCTCCCGGCAGGCGGGCAGGAGGGCTTCAACATCCCGGAGGTGCGCGAGTGCCCGGAGGTGGCGCAGTACCTGAGCATGCGCCCCGAGGAGCTGGATGGCCTGGACCCGCGCGTCATGGAGGGCCCGGCGTCGCGCCTTCTGTGCGACGCGTACATGTGCATGTACCAACACCGCGACATGATGCTCTACAAGTGACCGTTGCCGCCTGCTCGCCCGCCCGATCCGCATCCGCCTGCTCGCCCGATCGCCCGATCGCCCGCCAGATCAACCGCCCACCCAACCACCCACTCACGTCTTCAACTCTCTGTTCTTATTCTTTCCCATCTGAGGGTTCTCCTTGCTCATGCGGACTCTTGGGTCCCTTATGTCCTTCTCCTCCTCCCCCCGGTCGATCGGTGCCGCCACCATTGGGTACAGCAAAACGTGCAGTGCGAGACGTTACGGAGAGAGCGTTGAGGCTGTACGTAGCTCTCGATACGGACGAGAGGGAGATGTCGGGCAATAATATCCGCTATTGGTTTTATCGCACGATAAGGTTATTTGCAAATTGGCGATCGTTGACCATAACGGGAACATTTGTAATTTTCCTTCAATTGTAACGTCTGCAATGAAATCGCCACGGTGCCGAATTCACGAAACCCGACGGCCCCTCTCTTGGTAGGTTCCCAGATCGTGGCCTTTCTTCCGGCTCCATTCCATGATTGCTCCTCCGTAGCTTGGAAGCCCCTTCCCCCGGCTGTCCGTGCTGTCGATTCCCTGCCCAATGACTGTCACTTCTCCTACATGTGTGGCAAGAATAACTTCACGTTGGTTTGTGCGGAGAGACTTGCTGCGCACTTGCATTTAAATGCAGTGAAAATTCAAATCCGACTCTGCCTGCTCCCCCTTCTCTCCCTTCTACACCTGCCCAGTCTCTCTCCCCGTTGTTCTCTCCACTTCACTGCCCTTCTCTCCCTAAGGATTCTCTCCCCCTCCTCCTCGCACACCCCCTTCTCATTACTTCTCCACTCTTCGTCATCTCCCTCCCTCCCCCTTCCCTCGTTCTTTCTCAAGGGCACTCACAATTTGCGTGGCTGCTCGCGACTTTCAACACTCGGGGGATGGGGGGGTGTGTGGAAGTTTCGTCTCGTCTGTTTCGGGTCATCTTCCCATACCCCAAAGAGATGTGTATACATTTTTTGTTATCTCGTTTTTTGTTTTGTTTTGATCGTTTACGTTATTATTATTATTAATGTTTTTGCATTTATAATTTTTTTTGTTAACATCGGTCATTATGATCGGTTGTCGGAATTTTCTTTTTGTAATTATTGTTGTCGGGGTCTGATTTCTGGTGTTTTTATTGCGTGCAATGTCTGTTGGATTTTTACTCGCAACCCCGTCAGCCGGGACGGGACTGTCCGACGTTTGTAGCCGCGCTCGCGCCCGATACAGCCAGAGAGTGCGAGGTGCCGCCTTCATTCGTTGAGCCTCGCGGGAAAAAAGCTGCGTCCGTGGGCAAGCCACCCGCCGCGGCCGCCACTTTTCCCAAACCTCGCTCGCCACCGTACACCACAAGCAGAACCGGCTGATTGTCGGCGAACAGGCAAGGCTACGACGGTAGTCGCCACCGATCCTGGCATCTGAGCTTCCTTCGCGCCAGAACAGTCGTCGCTCAACCCGGTGGGCACGGTGGTCTTACAACGTGGCGCCGCTGTCGCCACTCGATCGGAATCGATTTATTAGGAGAAACTTGAGACGCAGCTTTTAACGCCACCTGAACCGGGCTAGGGTTTACTGTATAGGCTGGACCTGCCCCTAAATCACAAGGCCAACGTCATCCCGGCGTGCGTAGGACAGTCCGGGGGACCCCCCTGCCTCCGCTGAGAGTCGAGTGCGCGCGCGCGTGTGATTCCCGCGTATTGTGCGTGGGGTCGAGTTGGCGCGCCGTCACGATGCCGAATGTCGCTCGCTCACCGTTCGCGTCACCGTCGGCGTAGGCGAGCTCGCCCCGCTGTCTTACGCCGTCGCCTTTATCAACGTCAGGAAACCCGCCCCCCCTGACCCCGCCCGTCCACGCGGCTGTTTAAACGCTCGGTTAATTTGGCGGCGAAAAAGGAAAAAAAGAAAAAAGTTACAAAAAAAACCTCCCCAGTGCATGTTGCTCCGCGGGCGATCGCCACTAGACTCCCCCCCCCCCCCCCCCCCGCTGCCGCAAGCCGTGGCGGAGAAGTACACAATACGGTGTGACGCGGCGGTGTGCCATTCGTCGCGTTGACGCAACCCGCTAAGAGTTTTCCCCATCGTCCCCGGCTGTGCACTGTGGCCATCGTGAACGTTGTGTTTGTGACCGTCGAGGAAAAGCAATGATTCCCTTTATCACGCGAACGTCGCTGCCTCCTCCGCCTCGTTGCTCCCTTATTCCCGTGCACTTAGCCTGTGGCTCGTGTGTGTACAGTTTTGTATTTAATGCGATAACCGCGTAGAACCCCCTGCGCGCGTCTTGTCGGCTTACGAAGCGCGAACTTGGGTCCGCCAAGCCTGAATGTACCACATCTTAGGGAATCGTGTACCGCGGCTGTACGTTGAATCGTGATACCGGTCGGATTTGTGTGCTGTCAGTATAACGTGACCCGTGCTTTTACTGCTGCCAGCAGCAGCAGCAGCAGCATTTGCACCAGGTCGGTGGCCGCACGCCCACAGCGTGCGGTCTTACTTTTAAGGCCCTCAAGCGACGGTGCAGTTGTGAGCCCCAGCCAATCACCAGTTTGATTCGCGGCCACGTCTAAAGTCAGTGTCGAGTGATACCTGAACCGGTCTTGCCACTGCCCTACTCCCTTCTTGGTCAACCCCCGACTGACTGGTGTGGTGAAGTATGGTTACGCATCCCCCATGGCTGACAACGCTCGGCCATTGGATTGACCGAGGCTGTAAATTTACAACCATTATTAAATATCTTTGAGCGGGAAACTTGACTTTTAATGGGGGCTCGCAGTGGGGTGGCTTCAGAACCTCTCCACTGCTGGCTTATGATGAGCCACTGCCGTGTCAAACAGAGGCGCAATAGCAAGCCCTGCCAATTTGGAGCACAAATTTATGACAATTGTGAATGGGATCTGCGGGCTGCTCCTTCAGGTGAAGGCAGAAGCGAAATCCGTGGGAATGGCCACTAAAATAAGTGACTGCCTATGACCCTGGATGTACACAGCCGATCCACTTATCGATCCACTGCTGGATGAGGGCCTCCACAGACCACGAGTCATCGTCGAGTGCGATGCCTCTTTCTGCTCCGCAGTGTGTCCGCTGCGCAAGGCCCCAACGGCAGCCTCAAGCAGGCCGTTCGGTTGCCCGCCGGCGGCCACCCAATCATGACAATTTAGGTTCAATCCTTGCCTCGCTTCTGAGATTGGACAAAAATCAATGAATTACGCACGACGTTAAAGTGGCAGATAAGTTGCTACTTTGAAAGTACGTTCCGGTTAAAGCAAGACGCCGATCCATGGCGCTATGTTTGAGGATCACTTGGCCACATTTTCTTCTGCAGAACGATGGCTGAATATTCATAAAAAAAAAACATGTTTTGACCGATTCTCAGCCACTGCCAATATCAGTGATGATAAACGAACCAGTCGGCACCACCTTCACCAACCCCGCACTGTAACCAGCAGAGTCCATCAATCTCCATGACCTCGCCGCCAATTAGCACGGTTGGCTACGTACGGCGCGAAATAAGTTCAACGTACATACATTTGACTGTGCAGCAGCACAAAGCAGCGCCGTTCCCAACGCGGGACCCGCGGATGAAAGAAACCCGTTGAGGCCGCCTTTGCCAGGGAGGGAGACCTGGGTTCATCTCGCACCCGGAAAGGCTGGCAGTGGGCATGCGACTTGCGTTATACTGACAGCAGAATTCTCCACCGGTACCAGCTCAACTCCTGTCGATTATTTTCAACAAGAAATGTCTTCGTTTAAGCAATGCCCGCCGTTGCCACAAAAAAAAGACAAATGAATGATGACGACGACGACGATGGAATGTTGAGTAGAGAAT